GCTGGGCCCCCTATGCAAGTAAAGGGAGCCTGGGGCCCGCGGCTGCACCTGCACTGCACATATATATAGCGATCATCGCTATATATATGTGCAGAGAGGGAATGTGGGGCCCAGGACTGCCAAAGCAGTCTGGGCCCCCCAGGCCCGTGACAACCGTTATGGTTGTCACCCCCTGATGGGGGCCCTGGTCGCAGGGATCCGCATGGCGGCCGGGCCCCCTGGAGTGACGGACCCGGTCGCAGCTGCGTCCCCTGCGACTGCGGTAGTTCTGCCACTGGGTATGGGTAGGGTTGGTACAGTGTTAGAGGGGTTAGTAAAGGGATAACATTACCAAAAATGGATTTTGATAATAGACACGAGGCTTTCAACAATCAGGACTCATACAGGAATCTATTTGGAGCTCTTTTTTTCTTTAGTTGCACTTGATGTGTAAAAATTATTATAAGCAAAAAGGTGGAAACTTTTTTTTCTTTCTGTTTTTAACACTATGTAACACTAGGTATACATATATGATATTAAAAAAGGAATCCATTTTCGTCCATTAAAAAACAATATGGGGCACTTAAAGAAAAACGCTTAAAGGACCACTATAGTGCCTGGAAAACATACTCGTTTTCCTGGCACTATAGTGCACTGAGGGTGCCCCCACTCTCAGGGTCCCCCTCCCGCCAGCCTCTGGGGAAAGGAAAGGGTTAAAACTTACCTTTATTCCAGCGCCGGGCGGGGAGCTCTCCTCCTCCTCTCCTCCTCCGATCCTCCCTTTTCGGCTGAATGCGCACGCGCGGCAAGAGCTGCGCGCGCATTCAGCCGGTCTCATAGGAAAGCATTTACGATTTTCACAGTGAGAATCACGCAAGCGCCTCTAGCGGCTGTCAATGAGGCAGCCACTAGAGGATTTGGAGGCTGGATTAACCCTTTTTTTTAATAAACATAGCAGTTTCTCTGAAACTGCTATGTTTATAAAAAAAAAAAAGGGTTAATCCTAGAGGGACCTGGCACCCAGACCACTTCATTAAGCTGAAGTGGTCTGGGTGCCTAGAGTGGTCCTTTAACCCCTTCGCGACCGAGGACGGTTCAGGACCGTCATCGGCATTTTTGCGTTGCAGACCGATGACGGTCCTGAACCGTCCTAACGGTCAGAGGTACTTACCTGATCGCCGTCGTTCCCCCGGCGGCGATCAGCGTGGCTCCGGTTGTGGGGAGACTGCCTGCAGCAGAAATATACATATGTCGTTATACAAAATTACATAAATAATTATATAAATATACACGTAGACTTCAAATATATAAATATGCATATATATTTAAATTCTACGTGCGTATTTATGTAATATTTTTACATAATTCAGTAATTTTATTGATTGCAATTTGAGGGACCTGCCTGCCAACCCAGGCCGAAATTCCAGAGAATTTAATTTGTTAGCACTGTATTTTACCCTGTAACGTTCTACGACACCCTAAAACCTGTACATGGGGGGTACTGTTTTACTCGGGAGACTTCGCTGAACACAAATATTAGTGATTCAAAACAGTAAAACATATCACAGCGATGATATTGTCAGTGAAAATGACTTATTTTGCATTTTTCACACACAAACAGCACTTTTACTGATGATATAATTGTTGTGATACGTTTTCCAGTTTTTAAACACTAATATTTGTGTTCAGCGATGTCTCCCGAGTAAAACAGTACCCCCCATGTACAGGTTTTATAGCATTTTGAAAGTTACAAGGTCAAATATATGGGTCAAATATTTTTACATTGAAAATGGCCAGGTTGGTTACGTTGCCTTTGAGAGCGTATGGTAGCCCAGGAATGAGAATTACCCCATGATGGCATACCATTTGCAAAAGAAGACAACCCAAGGTATTGCAAATGGGGTATGTCCAGTCTTTTTTAGTAACCACTTGGTCACAAACACTGGCCAAAATTAGCTTCAATTTAGTTTTTTTACTTTTTTCACACACAAACAAATATGAATGCTTACTTAGGCCAGTGTTTTCGACTAAGTGGCTACTAAAAAAGACTGGACATACCCCATATTGAATACCCTGGGTTGTCTACTTTAAATTAAATATGTACATGTGGGGTGTTATTTAGAGATTTATGACAGATAATAGTGTTACAATGTCACTATTGATAAATTTTAAAAATGTATGTTTTGAAACCACAATATCCTACTTGTACCTATAGCCCTATAACATGCAAAAAAAAGCAAAAAAGCACGTAAACACTGGGTATTTTAAAACTCAGGACAAAATTTTGAATCTATTTAGCAGTTTTTTTCATTCGCTTTTGTAGATGAGTAAAAGATTTTTCAAGTAAAAGTAAAAAAACATGTATTTTTTTCAATTTTTCATCATATTTTTTTATTTTTTTAAAATTAAAATACATGAGTTTATATAAATAATGGTATGTAAAGAAAGCCCCTTTTGTCCTGAAAAAAACAATATATAATTTGTATGGGAACAGTAAATGAGAAAGCGGAAAATTACAGCCAAACACAAACACCACAAAAGTGTAAAAATATGCCTGGTCGCAAATGTACAACATCGCAAAAAAGGTCCAGTCCTTAAGGGGTTAAATTACGGTGGAACAAACAAATTCTAGGTTTTGTTTTGGTTTAGAACTTTGACCATAACCTCCATCCTTAACCCCTTAAGGACACAGCTTCAGAAGCCTGTCTTGCAAATAAGGACATAAGCAATTCTTGCATTTTTGCTGTTTGTGTTCAACTGCAATTTGCATTTTTCTCATTTATTGCACCAACACATATAATATGCAATTTTTTTAAAGGGCAAAGGGACTTTATTTGATGTGACATAAACATATATAAATTCTCATATATTTAAAAAATAAAAAATTCTCATGTCACCTATGTCTTATTATTGGTTTATGCCACCACATTGTTCAGCAGTATGTAAATGGGAAAAAAACCCATTGCATAAGCAAAACTGAATAACAATGTATTCGCATTGGATGTTTCTAGCATTAAAGGCTTCTGGGAAACATTCCAAACTCTGGTGCAAACTATTTGTTTAGAATGACAGACATCCATTTGCTAGTTGTAAAACTTTTTTTTCCCTCTGCCATTGTAGAGTATCTGAAACTTTGTCACCCCAAATAAAAATAGAACGGTATTTGGAAGTTGTATAGCCATATTGATCAACTAAACTCTCCTGAGGATTATAACCCAAACAATTCAAACTCTATTTCTAATCAGTGTGAGGAGTAATCTAATTTAATATTAACATTTACTGGAAAATTAAATTTTCTTTTCTTTTTTTTTTTTTACTGTGATATGTTTTATTCCCTCAAAAGAATGTTTCTCAATTGTATTTTTTTGTGTTTGTTTTGGAGTTCTTAGAGTCGACTCTCTCATGTTCTCATAATACTGACCAAGGTTACTTATTGCCAGCCTGACTCCTCCATATTCATTGCTGATAATAAACCTTTCATTTGCAGTTGCTTTACTGATAAGGAAGGCTGGCTGGGTAAGAGGAACTATTTTGTATATATTATTTAATCATTCAGTAATATAGTTTTTTACTGTACTCACAGCATTGCTGAACAGCTAATTGAAGTGGTCTGGGTGCTGTGACCCTTTAGCACTTAGTGCTGCAATGTTAAACATTGCAGTTATAGAGAAAGTCTGCCAGACAGCCACTGGGGGCGCTTCCGGAATCCAAACAGACTTTTGGTCCGTTATCTGATGCTGGACGTCCTCATAGACCTCCAGCGTCAAATTTCCCCCATAGGTAAGCAGTGAATAATGCTTTCCTGTGGGGAGGTCTAATGCATGTCTGGCGATTGTCGCCCATGCGCATTAGGTCTCCTCCGCCGGCTAACATCTGGGATATCGGCGCTGGATTCAGGTAAGTGGCTGAAGGGGTTTTAACCCCTTCAGCCCCACGAACGGGGGGGGACCTATTATCCTATAGTGTCACGAAAACGGCTTTGTTTTCCTGGCACTATAGGATCCTTTTAAATTTTCCGGGGTACACTACAAATGCCCAGATCATATATGAATTCCCTCTAGTCATGGGAGGGCTGACAAGAGGGATAAGGGTGTGTTTGCCACCTAGCCCACTAACATGGGAAGTCTGGCAAGGTATTTGAAGTCTTGAACCATTCTTGAAAAAACTAAAATAACAGGAGGTTTGTTAGGCTGCCTGTTTGTAAACTTCTAAAGAAATAATGCAGTAGGCAGGAATTATGATAGCCTTTGCAAGCCTGGCAATAGGGTCAGTTTGTGCATGCGCTGATGGACTGTGCTCTCGATACTCTCGAGGGCTGAACTGGCCTACTGGTATATTTCCCTATGCACTGCAGTATCTGATGCTGACCAGGGTTCTAGACTACAGGAAATATGTTTGATGGTGATCATGACATTCATTATACGCCAGCAGTGTAAATGGAATCTGTGTCTTTTAGGCATGCACTGGTCTCAGTAAATGCTCCTTCATTCTGTGCTGGTCATGCTGATAGATGTTAATGGGATATACAGGTGATACTCGAAAAATTAGAATATCGCGCAAAAGTTAATTTATTTCAGTAATGCAACGTAAAAGGGGAAACGAAGCAAAGCAAGATAGTTCAAGCCGTGATTTGTCATAAGTGCAATGATTATGCCTTACAGCTCATGAAAACCCCCAAACCACAATCTCAGTAAATTAGAATATTACATGCAATCAATAAAACAAGAGTGTACATAGAACAATATCGGACCTCTGAAAAGTAGAGGCATGCATATGGACTCAGTACTTGGTTTGGGCCCCAACTACTGCCTCAATGCGGCGTGGCATGGAAGCTATCAGCCTGTGGCACTGCTGAGGTGTTATGGAAGACCAGGATGCTTCAATAGCGGCCTTCAGCTCTTCTGCATTGTTCGGTCTCATGTCTCATCTTTCTCTTGGCAATGCCCCATAGATTCTCTATGGGGTTCAGGTCAAGTGAGTTTGCTGGCCAATCAAGCACAGTAATCCCACGGTCATTGAACCAGGCTTTGGCGTTTTTGGCAGTGTGGGCAGGTGCCAAGTCCTGCTGGAAAATTAAGTCAGCATCCCCATAAAGCTTGTCTGCGGAAGGAAGCATGAAGTGCTCCAAAATCTCCTGGTAGATGGCTGCGTTGACCCTGGACTTAATGAAGCACAGTGGACCAACACCAGCAGATGACATGGCTCCCCAAATCAACACAGACTGTGGAATCTTCACACTGGACTTCAAGCATCTTGCAGTGTGTGCCTCTGCATTCTTCCTCCAGACTCTGGGTCCTTGGTTTCTAAATGAGATGCAAAAGTTGCTCTCATCAGAAAAAAGGACTTTGGACCACTAAGCAACAGACCAAGTCTGTTTTCCTTTAGCCCAGGTAAGACGCTTCTGACGTGGTTTGTAGTTCAGGAGCGGCTTGACAAGAGGAATACGACATTCTGAAGCTCATTTCCAGGATCCGTCTCTGTGTGATGGCTCTTGATGCACTGACTCCAGCCTCAGTCCACTTCTTGTGAATGTCCCCAACACTTTTGAATGGCCTTTTCCTGACAATCCTCTCCAGGCTGCGGTCATCCCTGCTACTTGTGCACCTTTTTCTTCCACACTTTTCCCTTCCACATAACTTTCTATTAATGTGCTTTGATACAGCACTTTGGGAACATCCAACGTCCTTCGCAATTACCTTTTGAGGCTTTCCTTCCTTATGGAGGGTGTCAATTATGGTTTTCTGTACAACTGTCAGGTCAGCAGTCTTCCCCATGATTGTGAGTCCTACTGAACCAGACAGAGACCATTTAAAGGCTGAGAAACCCTTTGCAGATGTTATGGCTTACTTAGCTGATTAGAGTGGGACACTGTGAGCCTAGAATATTGCACCTTTTCACAATATTCTAATTTACTGAGATTGTGGAATTGGGGTTTTCATGAGCTGTAAGCCATAATCATCGCACTTATGACAAATCAGGGCTTGAACTATCTTGCTTTGCATGTAATGCGTCTATCTCATATATTAGTTTCCCCTTTTACGTTGCATTACTGAAATAAATGAACTTTTGCACGATATTCTAATTTTTCAAATATCACCTGTATGATAACAAACCTTCCAACTCCAGGAACCTGCACCTCTCAAATCTATTCATACTGCATCCTATACGTTATCAGAGTTAATCATCCACACTAAAATATTTTAGTTTTGTTTGGGAAAAAAAAAAGGTAATTTGTTTGTATTTGCACATGATCCAAAGGTTGCCATCCCTCACCGGTGGCTAGTCTATACCTATTGCACATGCTAAGTAAATTTGCAAGTTTTACACAATGATAACTAAACACTGGCAGCAACCTTTTCAGTGGTATGGAGCAGAGCAATGCATTGATTTGGATTGTGGAGCATACATCAGGGTCAGTGAAGAATATTACAAAAATAAATATTTAGAAATAAATGTCAGGCCACAGGCCCTCCAGAAAACATAAAGTATTTTAATTTTTGGTTACTTTTCTACCAGCTTAATTGTTTTTTCCATTCCATTAAGTGAGAATGTAGGCTTTATTTATTCAAATGCGTTGGTATGCAGGCAATGTCTAAAGTCGTGGTGCCCAACCTAGCCCTCAAAAAAGTCTATATGTGACATTATAGCCATTACTGAGCATTGCTGCGAGTGTGGAGACTTGTATTTCAAAGCACATAATGATTACTTACTAAAGTGAGAATTCAAAGTGAATTTCACAAAATAGCCAAACTGGAAAAAAATCCCTAGGTCAGTTATGCTTTCAATTCAGCTACTATAGCATTAAATACAAAATTCACACTTTAGTAAATAATACTGATATGTGTTAAATTCTAAATTCTTACAATAGTCCCTCATGATTCCAGTAAGGGACTGCGTTGACAACATATTCCCACAGCATTGGATCTGACGATGTTGCACCATTGAATGACCGCCACATTTACCAAATGGACTTTATTCTTGGAAGTGTAGTAAAGAATAAGGCTTTTGAGAGGATGCCTCAGACAATGGATGAATTGAAAGAGTTCATCTCAGATGCATTTATGGACATTGATGCGGCCCTGGAAATTCTGTCATAATGTGTGTCACGATGTACTGGACAAGCACGAGGAATGTTGCAACGTTGATGGTAAGACATTTTGAACACTTATGAGATTAAATAGTGTTAAACTAATATAAACGTTATAAACAATGTAATAAAATGCAAGTAAACTATACTGTATACCTACTTTTGGGCTACCCTGTATACTTATGTTCTATATCATTTCATATTATATATATTGTCCACAAATTTCACATTGGGTTGTTTATTATTTCAGAAAGTGCCTGTAGTAGGGAAGTGGTTATGGTTCTTTATTTTCATTTGACAAAAAAAAACAAAAAACGTGATTAAGGTGAGAAATTATTTTTTGGGAGAAATAAACAAAGCATTGCTGAAAATCTATAATTTAACCTGTTTAATAAATCTTACATTTATTAGTTCATTGTATAGTATCACATTGTACAAGTATTGAATGGAATAATTACAATATCTATTTTTTAGTACAAACAGCAGATATACAGGTGGAGTTAGACAGCGGGAGGTATCTTAATTTGGTTTCCTAAAATCATTGCCAATTGCCATTTTGTCTCATCAATCTACTTCCTGTTAGAATATTATAATATAGTATTAAAATATTATTAATGCCTCCACGGAGATTTTATGTGAGCAGATAGCATATAGGGTTTGTTTTTGTTTGTGTGTTTAAATTGTGGGGAATTTACAAATGGAGTTATTTGGTGAGATGAGCATCACAAAGAAGTGAAAGGAATTGTAAAATCTAGGCCCTGATACCACAACTGGAAAAAAAAGGCAAAAAGGAGAGTTTTTTTTTTTTTTTTTTATGTGAAACTCACTTTGAATTGTGAATTTCTAATATAAGACCAAAAGCGCTGAATTGCATTAATTTAGAGAAAAGGCAGTGCTTACATTGCTGCCTAGTAACACCTCTAGTGGCAGTCACTCAGACAGCTTCTAGAGGTGCTTCCTGTGTCCGTGCTGTACAGTGTGCAGGGGCCAACCGCTGCAAAACTGGCGCGGTGGGGGGGCTGGGGACCCTAATAGTTAGGCCAAAACTACAGTGTTAGGGACACTTGTTTGTATTCCTAAAGCTATAATGTTCCTTTACATTTTTCTACTTGTATGTTGCTGAAGGACTGTCCATACGGCCTGCTCCGAGAGGGAAAATGGGACATTATTCAAAGCAAATATGTCAATTGATTAAATATCCATCTGTTTTAATATAGTATGCACTAGAATCTTAATGTGTTTGCCTTAAATGGGATAATACAATATTGTATTTATTTTGCTACTGAGACAGGGAATCCTTTTTGTTGATTGTATTACATTTTTTATACATACATACAAAAAGAAAACATAAAAAAATAACTCATAATTATTGTATAGCTCCAAACTACCACATTACTGTGAATAATTATGGATTCAAGGAATTATCTTGCACATTTTAGAAACCGTACACTTGAAGAATCTTACCAGAACACACTATCCCATTTCCGGCTTATAAAATATCACGTCATGTTATAGAGAAAAGCGAATAAGTATATATATCTTCATAGCACATATTGTTTATAGACCCAGATTATACTCCACAATTAAGGAGCCTGTCTGAAACATCATTTAGATGAGGGAAGACTAGTTGAGCCAATCCTAAGTGAAAATGGTAAGAGCATTTATTTTTCCCTCATGTGGAAGAACTCGGCAAATGTAATGATCGCAAACTCGGAGACATTAAAGAAACACTCCAACCGCCATAAGCTCATTTAACTTGTTATGGTAGCAAGAGTGTCCTATCTTCATGTATTCTGCATTTGGCAGTGGTATTAGGAAGAACTAGCCGGGTGGCTGGTGATGGCTCCAAGTGTCAAGTGATGCTCTGAGCCACCCGGCTAGTTCTTCCTAATACCACTACATGAATGGGGATCCAATGAGAGAAATGGTATGTACTATTTCTCTTAAATGAGTGATGCTCTCAACCTATCACTGGCTGTCCAGCTAGCCCTTGGTCACAGTGAGGTGCACAGAGCAAACATGCATCGTAGCCCCTAGTTTGTAATCAGTAAGCCCTTACTCACATGTGTATGTATTTTCTTGTGACACCTATTTCACATGTATACATTATGTATACATTATTGATTGACCCACTGCTGTTTGAAAACCATTGTAACACCTATAAAGTTGATTCATTAAGGGATTTCTCCTCATTAAACACTTTACATTCCCCCTTACAGATTTTACTATATTTTAAAACTTAAAGATTTTATTTATTTGAGACATCTCACACAATAATCATACACTCTAGATTTGTTTCTAGACAACGCAGCTCTACTTTGGATAAAGATTACATTAGTAGTAGTTAAAATGAGCTGGGATGAAATTACAGGGAGTGTTATAAAGTCACCTGATTAAATGCTTATGAGTATGAAATTTAAATAGAATGGGGTATTCAAATTTGCAATCTGACTTTTGGTCAATGTCCCAAGGAATCTGAGTCCAGAGAAATGAATTTGATCAAATAAAAATGCTCCATTATTTTGTTTCATGCTATCAGATTGATACATTACTAGTCCTGGGATAACCAAAAGGTATATCCCAAGAATGACAACTTACATGAAACTACTGAGAACCCATTTTCAGGCACTACTGCTCTAGACTGTAGATGTTATACAAATTGGTATATGAACAGGGATTAAATAACTTAAAATACTACAAGTATATTGGATTTGAAATTTATATTTTACTCTATTTAAAATCGGGCCAAGAATAATAATGATTAAAATATACCAAAATAGGATCGGATGTTTGTGGGGGGTTTTCCCATGAAACGTATCAATCATTTTTCATCCTCCACTATCTTCCAATGTAGATTTACAAAGTTCCGGTCTGGCTAAACTATTAAATAGTTTTATTTCCTGCTTTAGAGAAGGTTTGTCGTTCTTATATCTTGTTAGAACAGCCTGGAATGTATTGTTTGTCTCTTTGTCTATCTGTGTCTCTTCCACCAAGTCTGCTAAACTTGTTATGTAGATCAGAGTCATTAATTCAGTTAGTGAACGATTACAAAGTGTTTACCCTTTCCAGTTAATTAAAATGCATGATATATATTGGTATATTATATACGTTACCATATATAGTTGTATATCATGTGACATTCATTTTATACATTCTGGTGGA